ACCTGGCAATTTGGTGGGAGTTGGGGCTGCCCAGGCAGGCTGGCTGCTCTCTGGCATCTTGGTGAGCTCTGCTGTGGTCCTAGGCTTGACTATGCCAAAGGAAGTGGTGGCGAGCTAGTCACCCAGGACACTGAGGGGGTAGACCGGTCCCTCAGGAAGGAAACATCAAAGTTGGCTGGTTCAAGATCAACCCCATGCATTTGGGCCAGTGTGAGTATTCCAAGTTGCCAAGGCTTAGCCAGTCAAACTTTTCCAGCAACTCCTCCAAGGTCTGGCTGCGCACTGTGGTCTGGTATCTCCAGTCTCTGGAGTCACTCTGGTCCAGTGGTCCCATCACCCTCCACTCGAGGATCGTAGTTCTCAACTCCCTGGTTGATGTCATGGGATGATCCCTCACTGGCTCCTGGAATGAGCCTCAGCCACCAAGGTCTTCCTGTGCCTGATACAGGTCCCCAGAGACAGGCCACTCAGTGAGGATTTTGAGCTGGGTGCCCACCTGGTGCTCAATCTCTGCCACCACCTCTGCCACCTGTTGGGTCTCCAAACGGTCCTGCAGGCTTCTCAGGGTTCCCCTGCAGGCTTCTGCAGTCTCATCCCCTCTCTTCTCCATCTTGTCTTCCCTGAGTCTTCCTGCTCATGGGGTAGACCAGGTAGCAGCCGGGGCTCAGGACCCTGGAGAGCTGCTCCAGTTGGAGCAGAAAATTAGGAGAGTCGGTTTAATGTCAGGGTTCCAAGTAATATGCCTATAGCAAACAGGACTGCAAGGCAGGCAGATTCCTCAAAGAATAGTTTCATTGGACATATCATATTGGCACAGTCTGGTGAAAACCGAATCTGAATGTTCCTGCGGTTTTTACCTAATTAAGAGTAAAAGTTTTTCTCCTTTTCTAAACAATCAGTCACATGGTCCAATCAAGGTGCTGTCTGGTTGCCTGGTAATTTCACTCCTCCTCTCTCTGGCCACCTGTGGGAATGTCCTTTGTTCCCAGGAGAAAGTATTTTGTTTTGGCTACAAAACCCCAGCTATTCCCCCCTCCCTATCCCTCAGTGGCAACACTGAAGCTTCAAAATGGCTTCTGTCAGGTCAGTTTCAGGGTTGACACATATACCCGCTGTTTAGGGTGACCCGCTCCCTACTTCAGGTGGTGGGAAGGCCTGGACTCGGGAAGATCCCTTAGAGGGTCGAGCTGAGGATTTTGTACAATTCCTGCATGATAAAGTCGCTCAGATTCGGGAAGGCCTGGACTCCGATTGGGTAGATCCAGGGGAGGAGACGGGGGTAGGTCTTGAGAGTGTTATCTGGGAAGAGTTTGACTCTGTGGCTCCTGAGGACGTGGACAGGATTCTGGGCAAGCTTAATGCTGCCACATGTTTATTGGACCCGTGTCCCTCCTGGTTGGTACTGGCCTCCCGGGAGGTTACACGAGGCTGGCTCCAGGGGATTATAAATGCTTCTCTGAGTGAGGGTGTCTTTCCCGCCGCCTTGAAAGAGGCGATTGTGAAGCCCCTCCTCAAGAAGCCTTCCCTGGACCCGGCTATATTATCAAATTATTGTCCAGTCTCCAATCTTCGCTTTGTTGCGAAGGTTGTTGAGAGTGTGGTGGCACGACAACTACCCCGATACCTGGATGAAGTTGTCTATCTGGATCCGTTCCAGTCGGGCTTCAGGTCATGATACAGCACGGAAACAGCATTGGTCGCATTGGTAGATGATCTCTGGAGGGCTCGGGACAGAGGTTGCTCCTCTATCCTGGTCCTATTAGATCTCTCAGCGGCTTTTGATACCATCGACCATGGTATCTTACTGCACCGGCTGGAGGGGTTAGGAATAGGGGGCACCATGCTTCGGTGGTTCTCCTCCTTCCTCTCTGACCGTTCGCAGTTTGTATTGGCAGGGGGGCAGAGGTCGACCTCGAGGCACCTTATTTGTGGGGTGCCGCAAGGGTCAGTCCTCTCACCCCTTCTGTTCAACTTTTATGTAAAACCGCTAGGCGAGATCATCTGTGGTTTTGGGGTGAGTGTTCATCAGTATGCTGATGACACACAGCTATACATCTCCACCCCAGACCACCCCAATGATGCCCTTGCTGTGATGTCCCGTTGCCTGGAGGCTGTGCGGATCTGGATGGGGAGAAACAAGCTCAGACTCAACCCCTCCAAGACCCAGTGGCTGTGGCTTCCGGCGTCCCGGTATAGTCAGCTAGTACCATCACTGACAATAGGGGATGAGATCTTGCTCCCCACAGAGAGGGCCCGCAACTTGGGTGTCCACCTGGATTCACGGTTATCTTTAGAAGATCATTTGACGGCCGTGGCCAGGGGTGCCTTTTATCAGGTTCGCCTGATCCGCCAGTTGCGTCCCTTTGTGGATCGGGACGCCTTGCGCACGGTCACTTATGCCCTAGTTATCTCCCGTATGGACTACTGCAATGCTCTCTACATGGGGCTCCCCTTGAAAAGCACCCGGAGGCTCCAACTGGTCCAGAACGTAGCCGCATGGGTGATTATGGGCGCAGCTCCTTACGCCCATGTAACACCTCTCCTACGTGAGCTGCACTGGCTCCCGGTGGTCTTCCGGGTGCGATTCAAGGTGTTAGTTATCACCTTTAAAGCGCTCCATGGCTTAGGACCCGGGTACCTACGAGACCATCTTTTGCCACCAATAGCCTCCCACCGACCAGTTCGTTCTCACAGGGAGGGACTACTCAGGGTACCGTCAGTCAAATTATGTCGACTGGCGACTCCCAGGGGGAGGGCCTTCTCTGTGGGGGCTCCAACCCTTTGGAATGAACTGCCCCCGGAGATACGGAATATCCCTGATCTCCGTGCTTTCCGCCGTGCCCTCAAGACCCTGATGTTCCAACAGGCGGGGCTAAACATACGAACATGTGAATGATTTTTTAAATGTTATCTAATTCTGGGTTTTATTTAATTGACCAAACTAAGTAATAATTTTAATTAGCAATTTTATGATGTTTGTGTGTCTATATTTTTCTTGACTGTACACCGCCTTGAGTCCTACGGGAGAAAGGCGGTATAGAAATATAATAAGTAAATAAATAAATAAATAAATAAATAAATAAATAAATAAATAAATAAATAAATAAATAAATAAAATATACACAAGTGTATATGCTCAAATAATCACTTATATCCTAGCAAGCCTAGGATCATAATGCATCAATTGTAGAAAAATTTAAATTAATTTAAACAATGAGTCATATTTAGTTACATTTTCACCTTTATATTGAAATGTTAGTATTAACAATATAGGGTAATATAAGGTTATATTTGGCAATTTTCATACTTATGGCAGTATCATACTCTGTGAAATTACTGAGTTGTATCTTTCAGGGGAAAATCCTCAAAATGTAAGGGAGACAGTTTTATTGTAAGCCTAAAGTATTTCAAGTATAAAGTTATTATTAACAAGAAAATTTTCCATGGCTTTTAGGTACCAATTTATCTTGGTAGTAGTCATGATTTCTATATCAATTACTTCTCGGAACAGGCATGTTTACACATTACACCAACAAATCCTCTATCCTTATAAAATACATAGTTCAACTCCCAAAATTACTAAAATGGTATATCACAATTCTAGAGTTAGTAATTGGGATATCAATAACAAATCAGATAATATTTATATAAAATCACATGTTTGAACAGAGCTTATTGAAAATGCAATCAGAAATGTAGATTTCAAATAAAATGGGTTCTTTCATGCACTACTTTTGAAAGATTTGAAGATGGACGTGCTAATACTCTATATGCAGAGTTCTCCAAGTTACAATTAGCTGTTTGATAAAAAATTAGACTTTTGAAAGCTTCCAGTTCTAGAAAGTTCTAGCTATCAAAGCATTATACAAATAGAAAAAATGTAGTTGCCATATCTTTCAGCCATTAAATAAAGCATCACAAATAGAAATTTGTAATTATTTATGTCCTGCAGCAATAAAGTATACCTCTGTCAGCTACAGATATAACATTCAACCAGACCAAAACTAAATAAAATGGAAGGTATAATATGAGACCCACATGTATAGAAGGCAACTATAGTCCACAAGAAACATTCTGTGATGCATGATATGACTTTCCTAATAATCCATGACTTGTTGGGTCATGCTTCCAGAAATATTACTTCCCTAAACAAAGAAACAGAATGACCATGGGCAGGCATGGTCATGGGAAGCTGGCAGGAAGTATCAGAAATCATGATCACATGATCATAGCTAACCTTGACGACACTGCAGTGATCACAACTTTGTAAATACAACCGGTATGAAGACTCTTGAAATTTTAATTCCATGGGAACAATGAGCCCAGGATTTTGTACCAATTAGCAGATCTGAAGTAACTTAATCCAAATTTTTGCATGCTATGATACACCACTTGTGCCAACTGAGTTTTACAAACAGACAAACAAAGAACCTTTAAATGGCATCAGGAGTTTTAGTAGTATATAGATGTTGCCATTCTTCTCCTTATTCCAAGGCTCTTTCCAAGCCTAGTTGTTTGTTCTAGCTTCCCTGCCTTCCATAGCTTTAAGTTCTGCACTGTTTCAGTATTTTCTATTCTGCACTGAAAGTTTCCAGTATGTTTGAACTTGGATGCTTAGTAAGTTTTCATCTTTATGCATCTTCTCTCTAAGGAGAAGAAAGAGGAATCTGATAGAAACAACTGAATTGGAATGTTTTTCATAGGCAAAAACTATGATTTTAGTTTGGGTAGGAGTATGCAGACCAAATTTTAGCTCTTTATTAAGTAATTGTCAAATGTACAAGTTTAAAGTTTACTTCATGTGATTTAATTTAGAGCTAAGAATATCACTTAAGAACAGGAAATACTTTGTGTGAATATGGAGTTGAAAGTTGATTGGGACAAATAATGTACAAGATGAAAATAAAGCATTTATTTATGTAAGAACAAACAAATGGCTAAGAAATGATTCAACAATGAGGAGGTAATGATTAACTATCAGGCTAACAGTTTTGACAAACCTTCTTAGAACTGCCCTCCAGCTTCTGTGCCAAACTATCCCAGCGGTGACTAATGTTTTGGAGCCACCCTTCCAGTTTCTGTGATAATCCTTTACTTTTTACTGCTGAGAGGAGATCCTGGCTAAGGGAATTCAGTTTATCCATTGATTGTCTCTTGATTTCCAATTCTCCTTTCAAGATCTGTAAAAGTAACATGGCAAAGAAAACATATTAACCTATTGGAAGTAATGGTACAAGTTAACTTGGCATTCTTTTCCAAGCAACAGATTTCCATATGCTTTTGTTAGTTTAGTTCAGGGCTGTCAAACTTACAGCCTGAGGGCCAGAAGCGTCATGTGCTGGCTACGCCCATGCCTGGTTTAACAAAGGGGAAAAAAGTTCCAATACGTCATACATGATGACACCGTGATGACGTGAGTTTGACACCCCTGGTTTAGTTGATCCTTATAAAATTATCTTTTGCATCTTTTCTCTAGCAGAATAAGGAAGAATCTTTTCAGAGTTACATAATTATAATATATTATTATCATACTGTATATTATCATGAATGAAAATTTTCTCTAATATTAAGAATTAGTTCATGCAAGCACATCATTAATCTACATACAAACTGTAATGCTGCTATTCTTACATGACCTTTAGACTAATTAGTTCCCAAAATGTATTTGAAAAATAAATGAAAATAACTTAAAAATGTTAAATGAAACAATCGTATTACTGCACCCAGAAATAAATATGTTGGTTATATTAATATAATCAGTAAATATGCCACATAACCTGTCAAAAAACTAGAATGGATATCTTATTATACAATATGTAAAGTAAGACATTACTTTCCACAACAATATACGGTAAACTATAGCATTCATTATCAACAATTCATTAGCAACCAATTGTGACCTAATGTTCTATGTATGCATTTATTTATCTAAAAACTCCACTCACCTATACTGTTAATATATTGTACTAAGTGAAGAATAGAATATCTTGTACATACTAATTGTAAACACTTGTTTTGGTAAAATTATTAAGAAAGAGATTTTGACTATCACTAAACTGAGCAAGCTTTTAGATTTTCATACTACCCTTGGCACTAAATCAAACTAATTAGAAAAGGCATGGGGTACAGTGTGTATATGCCTTTATGTTTGTTCATAGTAATTCAGAATAAGAAAAAACTCCTGAAAATAGATTGTTACTCAACAACAGTTTTATTTTATAATCATCCTGATGAGTTAGCCAGCATCAAAAGGCAAGACATTTTATATCTATGTTTTTTCCTCAATGCCTCATATCTTTTCATCTATAGAAACAAAAAAGAATATAATGATATCTGATGGAATATAGGGACAATATGAGTCTAAAATAAAATTAAGCAATCTCAGTTGTTTTGGCCAATCATGAACTATATGCAATTTAGCCAATAATGAGGAATTCTAGTTTTCTGGTCCACAACATCTGTTAAGAATAAGGTTGCTTATGTTTATTCTAGAAAATAAAATTCTTGTAACCTAATATTTGCCTTGGAGATTTGCAAATATCTGTTTTGTTCTTCATATCTTTCAATAATATAAACTAATTCAGATTTTCATTATTTTTGGAATGTGAGACTCACACTACCATCCTAATTTAGAGAGCCCCATTGAATTTAGAATAATGAACTGGAAATTAAAGTGTTACACTTTGTTTAACAGCCTGGGTCTTTTGAAGCTGAAAAATCAGGGGAAAACTATAATTTCAGATTGTGAGGTATGTTGTTAGGATATCTATACAGATATTCAGTAAATTTGTGAAAACCCATTCAGAAAGTTCAAACAGAAGCAAAGTTTGTTGAGAATGAGTTATGGCCTATGACTGGATATAAAATAACATATCTTTGCTGCAGAGGTGGGATTCACTTACCTTTACTACCGGTTCGCAAATGTGAGCGCACGCTTTTACTCTAGTTTACAGAGTCAGCATATTGCCCCTATCAATCTGGGTCCTCGTTTTACCAATCTCAGAAGGATGGAAGGCTGAGTCAACACTGAGCTGGTGTGACTTGAACTGCCAAACTGCTGGTAGTTGGCCAGCAGACTAAGCCTGCAATACTGCATTCTAAACACTGTGCCACCATGGCTCTTCTGAATAGATTGTTCATCAAATGGCTACCCAGAATATCTTGAGAGTCATTCGGCACATGAATTTAATAAATCATCATCATCATCGTTATCATCATCATGTCTTTGCTACTTCTATTTCTAAAATCATTCCTTCACTCCATTTCGCAGACATATAGTTTATGTATTTAGCAACAAGTATAACTGCCTTATTATGCTAGCTAAGCATAAATAAAGCAAAGCAAACTATTGGACATAGTTGTCCCCTTTAAGTTTCTGCACTATAATAAGCATTCTTATGCCTCATTTTTGTGCTAGGTTTATTCTGTTTCTTTTATGATTTTTGTGATAAAATATTGCTACCAGCAAAACATTTGTGCTACATTGAAAACAAATTTGATATGATTCCAGACCTTTAAAACACCTTGACAATTTTGTTACAAATAAATGTAAAAGTGTTGGCGTACAGTACAATCTACATATATAAACTTCAGGGAATATATTTTTAAGTCCAAGTAGGCCATCTGGTCTCTCTTTCTTTGCTAAAAACTCACTTGAATAGCCCAGAGACAAGGTTTGTAAACTGCCGGATGATGTTTAGCTTTATGGGGCTTGTGCTGATATAAAACTTTGAGGCTTTATATGGATAAATGAACATTTTATGTTATCAAAATTTTCTCATGTCATAGCATGAAGTCAAATTAATGAAAGCAACATATGCTTAAGGTTATGCTGACAGATGGTCACCATTTTTGGTCTCCAATTGTGACATATTAAATAAACATTAAATTTGTACTCAGTATGTGAGTCAATAGGGACTCTCAGCAGCAATTTTAAAAGCAGCTGTCTCATCCCTGTTAATTAATCTGAACAATCAAATGGCAAAAACTTTAAAATATACATTTCTGCTTTATCACAAGAAAAAGCCTCAGACATGTCAATGTCTAATTATACAGACATTATCCTAAAGAGTATCATATTAAAACCATATTAATTTCAAAGCTTTTCTATATATTCATCACTGCAGTGGTTGCTTTTATTTATATCCATCACTTATATAACAGTGGCCACTTTCCAATATGTCTGCATGATAGTTTTTCTTTCAGCTGCTTTGGTACCAATATAAGGGCATACAGAAATGGATGTGACATTCAAACATTAAAATAAAAAAGAGCTCTTAGTTTTTGGTTTTTAAGGTTTGAGCTGGTTTTATTTCAGGGTATATTATATTGCATAGCCACTGTTATATTCAGGGAAGTGGGAAACATTCAATGTAGGGAAATAATCCAAATCTAAATTTGATTTTTAAAAACACAAAATCATACACATGGCTTTGATTGTTATTTCTCTGCAAGTATGAATTAGATTTGTAATTAATCAGAAATGGTGAAAGCAACAGACCTTTTATTCTCTTAGCTCTAGGCAAATTACTTAAAACATAATCAATGGTGAAATCCTCCGTGGATTGCTACTGGTTTGCTGCCTGCGCATGTGCGGTGCATGCCAAATGTGTACTGTGCACGCATATGCATAGTTTGTGCCAAAAGCATGCTGCACACGTGCATGCACACTGCACACCAAAAACATGCTGTGCGCGTACGCATGCACAGGATTTCCTGCTTTCTAGCAAATATATATTGCGCGGCATAGCTGATTGTTGGAAATACTGGTTCGGATGATCCAATAGCTTTTTCTTTACTATTGGTTCCCCTGAACTGGTAGTTTTTATCACTATCCATTTGCCCGAACCTGTGCGAACTGGTAGCATTTCACCACTGAACATAATCAATATTAAAACCTGCTAACGGAAACTATTGCAATCTTAGCACTATTTCAATAATAGGGCATGTAATATATTAATTTTACCATAAGGTTATATAAGGGCAGGAACATTATACTACACTTTTTCATTATTTGGCTTCCAATTCCTGTTCATCATTGTCTGATATGAGAATGGCTCAGCGATAGACATCACGATCTCCGGAACTTTAAAAGTTTAAAAATTTTAAACTTAAATTTTTAAGTTTAAGTTTAAGTTAAAAATTAAAAATTTTAAACTTTTAAACGTTCCGGAGATCGTGATGTCTATCGCTTCTTCTTAACTATACCTGGAACTCGCATCTTCAGGACAATATATATATATATATATATATATATATATATATATATATATATATATATATATATATATATATATATATATATATATATTATATATATTATATATATATATATATATTATATATATATATATATATATATATATATATATATTTTCTGAGGTTTTTGCGGGTGTTTGTATGTAGGTCTTTTGTTATTTGGGTTTTCTCCCGCATAAAATTGGAAGTGTCTTGGTGACGTTTCGACGAAGTCTCATTCGTCATCTTCAGGCTGGTGTCTTCGGCTTCATGCTTCTAGGAGCAATGTGTGATCGCAGCTATTTCTTCCTTTTAACTGCCAGTGGGGGTGTGAACTGATTGGGTGGGAGCTTGGCTGTGTTCTGATTGGGTGGAGGTGTGTTCTGATTGGTTGGGGGCTTGCCTGTGCTCTGATTGGGTTGCTTTGCTGTGCTTCTTTGGGTTGGGGTGTGTTCTGATTGGATGGGTGTGTTCTGTTGGGGTGGGGCTTGGTTGTGCTCGGGTTAGTCTGAGTTGCAGGGGGATTTGAGCTGGTGAGTTGCATTGCTGTTGTTTGGCTTCGCATTCGTGGTCATGCCACATCTTCATGGTGGGTGTCAGTTTGCTTCATGTATGGATTGGAGGAGTTTAAAGTGGCTAATGATGCAGCTGTGGTCTAGCTTCTGGTTTGTGGTCGTGCCTCATCGGTGTGGGTTTGGATTTGCTTTTTGCGTGGATGTGTGGTGGTGACATCCTGTGTGGTTTTCGTGAGTGTGGGTCTGGTGTCATTCTTTGTGTTAGGGACTCATTTGTCAATAAGGGCGGGTTTCCAAATAGCTGGTAGGCGGGAGGTATCATCTTGTTTATTCATCCTGTGTGGGTATTTTTCTATCTCGATGGCTTCTCTAATTATTCTGTTGTTAAAGTGTTCAGTTTTGGCGATAGTTCTGGTCTTTTTAAAGTCAATTTCACGTCCTGTGGCTTTAAGGTGTTGGACCAGGGAAGAAGTTGGTTCTTCTTTTCTGACTGAGTTCTTGTGTTCTTCAATGCGTGCACTTATTCTTCTGTTGGTTTGTCCGATGTATGTGGTGGGGCAGGCGGTGCATGAGATTTCATATAGTCCTTGATTTTCTAACTCAATTTTGACTTTGGGGTTTCTTAGGAAGGTGGATATTTTTCGGTTTGTGCAGAATGTTGTCTTGATATTGTGTTTGTGGAGGATCTTGCTGATTCTGTCTGTGGTGCCTTTTATGTATGGGAGGAGGGTTTTGCCATTTTCTTGTTCTCTGTCTTGGATTTTAGTGGGGGGGTTTTTTTGGATTAGGTTGGTAATCTTATTTCTTTGGAATCCATTGGATGTTAGTACATTAGTGAGAGTGTGTAGTTTGGTTTTTAGGTGTTGTTCGTCAGCTAAGCATTTTGTTCTGGAGATGAGTGTCTTGGCTACAGAGTTGATCAGTGCTGGGTGGTGGTGTGAGAGTGCGTGCAGATAGCAGTTGTGTGTGTTTTCTTCTGGATTTCTTGTAGATTAAGACACCCAGGAAGGGAAGTTGGTTGTTAGCTTCTGTTTCCATGGTGAACTGTATTTTGGGGTGTAGACTGTTGAGGTGTGTGAGGAAGTTGTCCAGTTTTTCCTTCCCATGTGGCCAGATTATGAAGGTGTCATCTATGTATCTGAGCCAGAGTTTGGGTTTGTGATCAGATTTTTCTAGAGCTTGGGTTTCAAAGTGTTCCATGTAGAGGTTTGCAATGATAGGTGAGAGGGGTGATCCCATGGATGCTCTTTCTATTTGTTTGTATTTTTGTCCATTATAAATGTACTAACATCCAATGGATTCCAAAGAAATAAGATTACCAACCTAATCCAAAAAGAAACCCCCACTAAAATCCAAGACAGAGAACAAGAAAACGGCAAAGCCCTCCTCCCATACATAAAAGGCACCACAGACAGAATCAGCAAGATCCTCCACAAACATCAAGACAGCATTCTGCACAAACCAAAAAATATCCACCATCCTAAGAAACCTCAAAGACAAAATTGAGTTAGAAAATCAAGGAGTATATGAAATCCCATGTACCGCCTGCCCACCACATACATCGGACAAACCAACAGAAGAATTGGTTTGAAGAAGCATCGAAGAACACAAGAACTCAGTCAGAAAAGAAGAACCAACTTCTTCCCTGGTCCAACACCTTAAAACCACAGGACATGAAATTGACTTTAAAAAGACCAGAACTATCACCAAAACTGAACACTTTAACAACAGAATAATCAGAGAAGCCATCAAGATAGAAAAATGCCCACACAGCATGAATAAACAAGATGATACCTCCCGCCTACCAGCCATTTGGAAACCCGCCCTTATTGACAAACGAGTCCCTAACACAAAGAATGACACCAGACCCACACTCACGAAAACCACACAGGATGTCACCACCACACATCCACGCAAAAAGCAAAGTCAAACCCACACCGATGATGAGGCACGACCACAAACCAGAAGCCAGACCACAGCTGCATCATTAACCACTTTAAACCCCTCCAATCCATACATGAAGCAAACTGACACCCACCGTGAAGATGTGGCACGACCACGAACGCGAAGCCAAACAACAGCAATGCAGCTCACCAGCTCAAATCCCCCTGCAACTCAGACTAACCTGGAGCACAACCAAGCCCCCACCCCAACAGAACACACCCCCATCCAATCAGAGCACAGCCAACCTCCCATCCAATCAGAGCACAGCCAAACCCCAACCAATCAGAACACACCTCCACCCAATCAGAACACAGCCAAGCTCCCACCCAATCAGTTCACACCCCCACTGGCAGTTAAAAAGAAGAAACAGCTGCGATCACACATTGCTCCTAGAAGCATGAAGCCGAAGACACCAGCCTGAAGATGACGAATGACACTTTGTCGAAAGGTCACCAAGACACTTCCAATTTTACGCGGGAGAAAACCCAAATAACCAAAGACATATATATACATACATACATACATACATACATACATACATACATACATACATATATATATATGGTAAGTTATTATTTTAGTTATTTTGATATCAGATTTTGAAGGTAAGTATCATCAGCAAAAATAATATAACTCTTTTCCTTATTTGTATCAACATTTAAAAATTAAAGCATAGAAATAATCATTATTGGTTTAATTTAAAAATGGCTGCAGATCATAAAGTAATATGTGCTAATATCTGTCCTAAAGCTGTACAGAGTATAGGCAAATCATACCAACTATAAAGTCCTTGACTTCACTTCATGTCTACTATGAATTTGATAAAACATACAAGTATTAATTACAAGGATTATAAATGGAATTTCATTCATGTAAATGCCAAAAATATGTACACTATCATAGCTACTAAGATGATGATGATGATAAAGAAGAAGTAAAATTTATCTCCTAATTAGCAATGTCCTGCAGATCACAATGATGCAGAAATAAGAGATGTCTTTTGACATTTGTGTCCTAACATCTAACAGATAATGTGATATCATGGCACATGTTTTATCATTTTTCACTGTGTGAATACCCACATTTATTTCAGAAAATAATATTTATAAACTGATAGCATTAGAAACAAGAATGGGCTAACTATTAAATCATTCTGTGTGAACTTGCTTATCGATAATCCTAAAAACAGAGATTTGATATTATTCATTGTTGGTTGGAATGTTGCCAGAGCTTGAACATTTGCCAGCTGGAACCTTGGTTTGCTGGGTTCAATTCAAAATACCAGTTTAAACCTGTAAATTCATAGTTGAGGGTATGCAAAATTAAAGTTACTTGACTGGGTCATTTGCAGGTCCTCTGCTGAAATATGTGATGCAAATGTTGAAAACTGGGAGGAAACTATACAAAAAAAACATACAGCCAATTTTTGTAGATTTTCCAACATTTCTTTCTGGTCTTTGAAATCGATAGTATGCAGAGTGGTCACACATTCTTCCTTTTCAGTAAACCATGTATCAAAAAGACCCTAAAAGTTAAAAAAAAAAAATTAGAAAGACTGCATATTAAACATTATAAAGCAAAGAGTAAATAGATATACTTAACCTGTTCTTCAATAAATTGCAACCATTTTTGAAGAACATCTTGCAGAATAAACCAACGGTCCTCTGTCCATCTACAGATTGTTGCCCAACGGTTTCCTAAATGCTAAAATAATGGCATTAACATTCAGAAGTTAATAACTATTTTACACTTCATTTATACAAGACTTGATATTTTTATTTAGCCTTTAATACTGTTACAATCTTTCCATTCATATTTTATGGCTACATTATTGTGGTTGTTTGTACAATCCAGGGGTGGGTTGCTACCGGTTCAGACCGGTTCAGGAGAACCATTAGCAGAAATTTGACATGGTTCCCCGAACTGTTCGTGACCTTTGGCTGGCCACGCCCCCAAACCAGTCCCCTCTCGCTCACCCCACTCGCCCAATGCTCGCCCGCCCTGTCCAGCCACTACTTGCAGAATCTAGCCCCGTACTTCTGCTCACTGCTGCTGGCAAAGGTAAGGCCGAAGGGCCTGGGTGGGTGGGGGAGGGAGAGCTGGTGGAGGGGTGATACCAGCAGGAGTTGATGGACCAATGTGCACAGGGAGGGAGGACAGCACGCGGGAGATCCTAGCTGCAGTTTACTCGTGAGCACCATTGGCCGGGAGAGACAGGGAGAAAGGCCAATGGTGCTCAAGAGTAAACTGAGGCTCCTAAGTGGAGGTCGAGCCTCCCCGCCCACAACATCTTCACCTGAGGCATCGCTGGCAGCCACTTCCTGCGCCTCCCATCCAGTGCTCTTCCCGCTGCTGCTCGGCCTCCTCGATGCATGGAGGCAGGAGGTGGTGGTTTCTTTTGCTGCCTGCAATCTGCTGTCTGCCTCTAATCTGCAGTTTACTTGTGAGCATGGTGCTCATGAGTAAACTGCAGATTACAGGAAGCTGGCAGATCGTGGCTTACTCGCTCTGCTGCTCGCCTGGCAGAGGCAGACTGGCAGCTCCAGGTCATCTCTCAGTTGTTGTGTGCAGGGAAAAACCTTGCAAAGTAAAGAAAAACTTCTGAGTGCGAGAAGTTAGTTGCCTCGCACTCCATGCACGCAATGGCTGAGAGATGACCTGGAGCTGCCACTCTCCGGTAAAATGCACATCTCGCAATGGGGCGCAATTTGGGGTGGCAGGTGGGGCAGGGGATGGGGGAGCTCGGCAAGCTTTGCAGCTGTGTGGCTACAAAGGTTGCTGTGCTGGCTCCCTTCTCCCTGCGGGCCAGTGCCTCCCGAAGCCGCCGGTGTTGCATGCAGCCACTGTGCTAGGACTGATAGGGGCAGCAGCAGCCCTCTTCTGTTTTTTTCCAGCTGGGCAGGAAAAAAAGGAGGGGGACTTCACAAACAAAAGAGAATTCTCTCTTTTGGCACCGGAGCCAAAGTTAAAAGAAACTGGTGGGGAGAAAAAGAGGAAGGGTAGGAACAGGGGAAGGGCAATTTTTTCGTTGTTTTAACTCTGTAGCAACATCTTTCCCAGCTACTGCTTTCTCTGCTCAGCAGCAGAGCTTTTTTTTTTTTTTTTTTAGGTTAGTTTCCTTCTTCCCAGGAGAGAGAAGAGCGGGGGCAGGGAGAGAAAAAGAAGGCAGCGCAGGATGGTGGAGGGTGGGATCGGGGGGCATCTTAGTCTCGGCCGGTTGCTGCTTCCTTGGGTCCCCTCAACTTTTTAGTCCCAGAAAGCGGCTGAAAAATGCCCTCCTCCATGTACCATTTTCTGTCCTTGCCTCCTTCCTGTTTTTATTTGTTTTTCCCTCCTACCCTGAAAGGAGTTTCAAGCAAAAGAAAGTGGGGGGGGGGACAAGGATCCGGGAGTGGAAAGGGATTGGGAAGAATGAGAACAAGGAGGGCTTCCCAGCTCAGGGAAGGCTCGGAATCCGGAATCCAGAGCATGCCTTTCCCCCTTTCTCTTGCTGCACTTTTATTTGCAAAGCCCCCCCCCTCTCCAGTTCACTCTCCCTAAAAATGGAGCTCTTGGTCCGAAGCGGGCGGTGTGTAATGAAGGCAAGATTTAAAGGAAACAAAGTTGAGCTAGTTTGTAAGGAAAGCAAGTACTGTCAAGGTTCAGTGCAAGCCATATTAGTATTCCAAACTAATGAGTCTTAATGTCTGGTTAAAATGGGTAGTACTTCCATTTAAAGAAGAAAAGCATAGCTCAGACTATTGCTATGATTTTTTGCTCCTATATTTTGTTGTTTAGGTATAAATTTTGTTAATGTAGAAATTTTACTTACAGCCTATTAAACAACAGAGCTAGCTGTCTGCCTGCAATCATGTGTATCTATTAGGAGTAAATCCCACTGAAAGAGAGTAGCCTTACTGCCAAGTAAACATGCATAGGCTTTATGTAATTGAGAAATAGGGTATCAATTAGTATCAGGTGTATTATAGAGAGAAATAAGAACTTCTGTAACAACAGATACTTTGTGCCCAGACCATGTGTGTGTGTGTGAGAGAGAGAGAGAGGGAGAGAGAGAGAGAGAGAGAGAGAGAGAGAAAGGAAGGAAGGGAGAGTGAGAGAAAAAAAACTCTCTGCTATTATTTTTAATTGTTCCATTATTTATCATGTGTTAATATTTTACACTGTCCCTACACCTAGAGTCATTTTACTGCCTTTCTTTTGCCCAGGGCTACCACATATTTTTCAGGGATTTACATGCATTCAATGTCTATAGTCTAGAGCATAAATATGTGTGTGTTTATTTTGTACATCAGGTTGTATAAATCCATCTTAATATGCTATTCCTGGTATGTGATGTTTTGTATACATACAGAGAAAGAAGCACTCTTGTGATCTTTGAGTTTTAGGCTTGCTGTCAAACATCAGCCATAATACTAATGACTGTTTTGAACAATATGCAGGTTGTATTACACGAATGGCTATTTTATATGCGAAATTATGACTGAAATATTTCTGCACCTATATTGGTTCTCACTGCCAGGAAGTTTCTCTTTAGTTTTAGGTTGCTTCTCTTTTTGTTCAGTTTCCATCCATTGCTTCTTGTTTTGTCTTCTGGTACTTTGGAAAATACATTGCCCCCTCCCTTCTTTCTGGCAGTGCCTTAAAAGCCTGTTGCCTATCACACTCTTGGGCAAAGCATGTGAGCTATTTCCTCCTTTCAGTGGCCCCATGAAAGTACAGCTATAGTATGTAGATAATAAAGTTGAAAAAAGGTGAACAACATTTTTACAGAACTATAGATACATTGAGGCTGGGTGTGACAAGGAATGGCTGGGAAGGGAGGGGCCAGGCGAGGCACTCCTTGACGTGAGTTACATTGAGTTGGCCACACCCACCCAGTCACATGACCATCAAGCCACACCCACTGTCACATGACCATCAAGCCACACCCACAAAATAAGTCACACCCACAGAACCGGTAGTAAAAAAAATTAGAACCCGCCCCTGGTACAATCAGCCAAATATTTTGGCTGGATATGGCATTTTTATCTACCTACTGAGTCCTTTCCAAGGCCCTGGGATAGGTAGATGTTGCTTGATGGTGTTAAAGCTACCATAAGGTGACCAGACGTCCCGCTTTTGGTGGGACAGTCCCGCTTTTGAACAATTTGTCCCGCATCCCGCGGCGTTTTAAAAAAGTCCCGATTTTTCATTCTGCCTCCTGAATCCCCGCTGCTGGCTAGAGGGAAAAAAACTGTTTAAACTCTTGCCGCGGGGCTTCAAAGGGCCGCCCTACGTTGATTAGCTCAGCTTCCCCCTCTCAGCTGATTTGCACAGGGCTCTGCTCTTCCTAAATTGCTCCAGCAGTTTTTTTTTTCTCTTTGTGCAAACCAAGCTCAAAACGAAAGTGAAACTGGCTGTTGGCTTTGCTGTTTGCTTGCAACGTTGGAAAATTAGGCAGCAGATTTATTTTCCTTTTCCTCACCAAAAAAGATAGGTGTAAACAATGGGAAATTATTTAGGGCAAAAGAGGAGAGTTCAAGATTTTAAAACACAAAAGAAAAAAAAGCTCTTTTTAACTAGGGAATTGTAATAATTGAGATACTATTAATTGTATACTGTGTTGAAAGCAGAAATGGTTAAGTTGTGGTTTGGAGGAATATATGGGGGAAATTATTTGGTTTATTATTATTGGTAAGTATAATTAATTGATTTGTAAGAAATTGGATTGCATGGAAATAATTGGAATATTCATGTTCATATTGATTAATATACAAAAAAGATAGTTATATAACTAATTGATTTATATTAAAATGTTGAATTTGTATTAAACAACTGTATTACATAATTACATAATTAAACAATGTGAGGATGGATATAAAAATAGATGACAATGGGAAGGGGTATAAAATAGAATAGAAGGGAAAAATTGAATTTGATTAAGATTAGAGATGAGGATGAAGGGTAATATTGTTTTTTTAAAAAAATAGATGAGGAATAAATATGGCAAAAAGGAAATATAGAAATTGTAAATTTAATTGAAATGACTAAACACTGTTTAAATTTGTGAACCAGCCAAATATTCTGTTCAAAGAAAATACATTGTATGTATGTGTGTTTCTAATTATTGCTATTTATTCATATTTGTTCTCTTTTATTCTTTAAAGTTTAACAATTCATTCTTTATCTTAATATCTTTATATTTGTTTGGGGTTGGCTTTCTTCCCTTTCATCTTTTTTATTGTACAGCAATCTTTCTCCTCAAACCTACCACCTCTCTTTTCTTTCCTTCTTACTTTCTCTTTCCCCCACCCTCTTTTTCTCCTCCCTACTTCCTCTTCCTTTCTCCTTCTCCTCCTCTCTTCCTCCCTCTCTTAACCGTCACTCCTACTCTAATTTCCCTTCCCTTCCTTCATCCCTCTCTATTACTGTATCCTTTTATGCATATGGACTACTCAGAGGGCTGAAAAAGTTATTTTTGACTGGTCCTCGCACTTTTGACCAGTCCTCAAACTTACGACTGTCCTCACATTTTACATTTTTGCCCTATCTTGTCATCATGGTGAAGAGAAGCAGTTGTGAAATGAGTGACATGGTTGTAAAGAATGCTGCACGGGCATAAATGTGAGGATGGTCATAAGTGTGAGGACCAGTCAAAAGTGCGAGGACCTGTCAGAAATGACTTTTTTCAGCCCTCTGGTTAGTCCTTTTGTGCATATGGACTACTCAGAGGGTTGAAAAAGTTATTTTTGACTGGTCCTCGCACTTTTGACCAGTCCTCGAACTTACGACTGTCCTCACATTTTACGTTTTTTGCCCTATCTTGTCACCATGGTGAAGAGACGCAGTTGTGAAATGAGTGACATGGTTGTTAAGAATGCTGCACGGGCATAAAGTGAGGATGGTCATAAGTGTGAGGACCAGTCAAAAGTGCGAGGACCTGTCAGAAATGACTTTTTTCAGCCCTCTGGTTAGTCCTTTTGTGCATATGGACTACTCAGAGGGCTGAAAAAGTTATTTTTGACTGGTCCTCACACTTTTGACCAGTCCTCGAACTTACGACTGTCCTCACATTTTACGTTTTTGCCCTATCTTGTCACCATGGTGAAGAGAAGCATTGTGAAATGAGTGACATGGTTGTTAAGAATGCTGCACGGGGCATAAATGTGAGGATGGTCATAAGTGTGAGGACCAGTCAAAAGTGTGAGGACCTGTCAGAAATGACTTTCCAGCCCTCTGAGTAGTCCCTATACACATAGCCATGGCCACCCGGTCACATGACCAGCTAGCCACGCCCACCCAGTCACATGGCCTCCAAGCCACGCCCACACAATAAGCCACGCCCACAATGGTGTCCCTCTTACCAATGTTAAAATCTGTTCACCTTACCCCTATACACATAGCCATGGCCACCCGGTCACATGACCAGCTAGCCATGCCCACCCAGTCACATGACCAGCTAGCCACGCCCACAATGTCCCTCTTTACCAATGTTAAAATCTGGTCACCTTAAGCTACCATCACAGGATGTAAGCTGCTCCAAGTTAAACTGCCTTTTGCAATTGACTGGTGGTGATTATGTCAATGATGATACTATTATTATATAACTAACACATAAATAATAACAACACACATCAACATTGCACTCCTATGGGGCAAGCTGAAATTCTGCACTATAAAATGCATTCCTAAAAAGCCAGATATTTATGGCCCTTCAGAAGCCCAGTGAGATGGGAAAGTACAAGACATCTGGGCATAACTCATTCTATATTGTATTATCTAGCCAAATATACTCATCTGAAAAAAAAAAGATAAGTAGAGTTGGATCTTGTTATAAACTGAATGGGACACTAGTAGGAGAAAAAACCCTGGTTAAAATCTAATTATATGTAGAATAGAAAGCATAAAGAGAGTGTGCAAGAAAGCAATATGGACAAAAATATGGACATATTAATGCAGTCAGTAGGACTGTTTTTGTCCTTTCCTTTTAAAAAAGTTTATACTTGAGACAATTCTAATTCAGACAATTCCTGAAGGAAATACAGCTATTCATTGTTAGGTTTTTTTCCCTAGAAAAATAACATTTATATTTATCAGTGTATCTTACATAACTTGTCAGTGACCAAAATAAAATATTTTGAATTCTTTAGAACTGGATTAGAACCTCCATTATTCTAGCAATCAGCAGCAAGTCAAATGATACAAAATCAGATTAACACTAAAAGTGTATCTGAAATACTGAAATGCATGACTTAGAAGCAAGTACAGTACTGTGAAAAGTACTGTACTTGCAAACAAGTACAGTACTGGTTTTTCACAGTAAACCAGGTCTCAATAGTTTAATAAGATGCAAATACTGAAAGTACAATAATCAAGAGACTATACCAATATAGAAATTACCATTGTAAGTAGCAAATGTTAATTATAGGTTTAAAAATGCTGTTCCCTATAACAGTTTCAAAATTAGCTATCAGAATGAAAGCAATGCTTCACTAATTTATTCATTATTCTTACAATGTGGCCTTACATTAATGGCAGCACACACTCATATTCACAGACAAATCTGACATTATGATAAATCATAACCAATTATTGTATCACTATAATCCCAGGTTCACTGAAATTATCATAGCATTACTGTACATTCAAGTGATTTTTCCTACTGTGCATATTTTTAAATTTGACTGTAATGTCAATTACATTTTTTAGAGGGGAGAACTTTTTTAGTAAAATTGTATGGAAAGGGCAAGTGAAAAATAAAAGTGTACAGGAATACACTTGAAAGGTAATATTTGCCAATTCAGATTTAATAAGTAAAATACTTGTTCTTCCTGGTCATAAATTATTCATTCATTCAAGTATCTCTGAATTGTGTTGAAATAAAAGTGGCACATGTCTGACACTTTTCTCCTGAATAGTAGCTAGGATAATAGTTCTTTATGGAATGTAAACCAACATTAGAGTGACCAATTCAGTTTTAAACAATATTAACATTTTTACTTTTTATTTACTGTAGAATTATATATTTTCAGTATAACTTAGATGTAGGAGGAATGTGCATGGAATCATATAGTAATCTTAATTTAGTAATTACCTGAAGTTTTTGTTCTAATGCAACTGTAGCCCTATCTCCACTAGCTTCATCTATTACAACTACCATATGAGTGAGTGAATTAACTTTGACTTGTTCCTGTTCTAAGTCTTCTTGAAGAATCTATAATAAAAAAGAAAAAACTGTTAAAAAATAAACACGACAGCTTGTTTTGCTTTTCTTGAACTGAGTTATTTAGAGCCATAAGGACAGGCATTAATTATTAGTTACAACTACAGTATAACAAAGACCTCACTGAAAACTTTGTGCCAAAACACACAGTGAAACATAGTTTGTATAATTTCTATTACATTAAACATAGATAAATTTCTATCTAACTTAGAAAGACACAAATGGAATATTCAAAAAAAGCTATTGAATCATGAATCCACCCCCTTAAAAGTCTTATTCTTTTCCTCAATTTTTAAAAGATGAAAATCTATCACATTTACCGGAAATAAGCATCACCCAAGGCAGGGAAAATTCTGAGAAAACAAGTATAGGATTGCAGTTTTTAAAATTTACAATAATAATTATCTTTTAGCTATGAGACATAATTTTAGTTGCATTCATTTTGGTATAACTATAGAGTATCCTTATTTATTATTCATTTTCTATGCAGCATCTAGACTTGAACAGTCTCTTTGAATGTGTTTTACATTTATGGTTACATTAAAAGTCAAATTATTACAAGCATAAATGACTCAATAAAATATATATTTCTAGAGGACTGTTTAAAAATTGTACTATGTTCTATACATTTTAAGGAGCAGTATTTCAAAAGTATAGCACTGAAAAAGTATGTCTGTCTGACTGTCTCTCAGTCAATCTAATCTAATCTAATCTAATCTAATCTAAACTATACTTTTCTAGAGGATTTTTTAAACACTCATGGTTCAAATAATATATGGCTAATCTGCACTTATTAGAACAGATCCAAGTTGAAAGGGGGAGTTGGTTTTAGTTTTTTGAATATAGGGAATATAGACTGACTTCTGCACTCTGAGTCTTATTATACAAAGGGAGTCAGGATACCAAACCATGCTTCATTTTAAAGGATATATTTTTTGTTAAAACCAGCCATTAATCTCCATTAATTACAACAGGCATAAATACCTGCCTTGGTAGAATTGTAATCTATTTTAGTAGAAATATTGTGGAAAAATAAAAGGAAGGAAGGCAAAGTCTACTCAGAAAAGTTGTATATAAAAGTATAGCCAGACCTGGTTAGTCCCTAAATAGGAAACTACAAGAAAATCAAAGGGTGTAACTAGAGCTGACTATAGCTATCCTAAGTATAAACATATATACATTCTGTGTGAAGATAATGGCTAAGTATTTTTGCATGACTGCCAAGAAATTGGCATGTACTTATTAGGGTTTAAGTCTTTAGTTTAATTGCATGAATATTAAACAAAGCCAAAGTAATTTTGTTGGGTAGCTTTTGCATGCTTGGACATGTTTAACTCAATGTTTTAAGGCAAAATATATAAAACACTAGAATATAAATAAAACAAAAAAACAAAAAAGCAGGTAAAAACAAAATATAGCATTTATCATTAGAATACATATTTTACATAATGTATCAGATATTTTAATTTAATCAACCTCACAGGACTTCATCTGTTGGTCTAGATTGCATAGATATACCATTAATAAAAAGAGACTACCTATCAATGCAGATAAACAAGCAGGTTTTCTTGAAATGATAGAAAATTCTGGATGAATCTTAAGCACGTAACAATGAATGTACATTTTCTGTTTTTCATTTTAATGCCAACTTACTGCTTCCAAAATTGCATAGCCAAAGGCTATTTCAGATCTATGTTAGACATAACTAGTAGACTAACTACTTTACAATTAGAATGCATGGAAAACTGGTAAATATTTGGACTGCATAGGACTTAGGGTCACGTATGTATTGTCGGGAATTTTAATAACTAGAAGAAATATGAAAAATTCAAAATTTTGAATCTATCAAATAACTCCAGCATCAAGTGTTTCATTAAAAAGTATATCTCATCCATAGAAGGTCAGTTATACATGATGCTAAAAATAAAGAAAAAGGTAGAAATACAGATAGCATCATACACAACATTAGTATCTATTAAAGTATACCTGAGATTTTATTTTTTATTTTTTATTTTTTTAAAAAAATTGATTTATATGCCGCCCTTCTCCGAAGACTCAGGGTGGCTTACAATGTGCTCAGCAATAGCCTTCATCCTTTTGTATATTTATACAAAGTCAGCTTATTGCCCCCACAACTGGGTCCTCAATTTACCTACCTTAGAAAGGATGGAAGGCTGAGTCAACCTTGAGCCTTGGCGAGATTCGAACCCTGCAGTAATTGCAGGCAGCTGGTCTTAATAACCAGCTTAATAACAGGGTGCCTTAAACCCCTGTACTACCAAGGCTCTTTATTATTAATCAGTTAATGGTGTGTGTGTGTGTGTGTGTGTGTGTGTGTGTGTCTAAAAAAATGTCTTAGACTACAACATAAATGCACAACAGAAGCACATTTTATCCAATTCTTTTGTTCATTATGTGCTGGCGTGTGGCTTTTATAATTAAATTCATTTTTCAAAATACTTCATCTTTTGTATATAAAGGCAGGTACTCAGCTTGAATACTTTACTGTGCTTGGGGGCTGCAATACAAAGTCACAGCACTGCTAATGAGATTAGAAATCCCAATTATAATAACTAATAGTGTTGATTCGCTACTAGAGCACTTTAAAAAGAAAGCATATAATAGCAAAAGAAAGAAACAAGGGAATAATAAAATCTGAAACATTATTATTGTATTTTGAAATAAATAGCATGTTGCAATTCCCTTTCCTCATATCATTCCAGAATATTTTTTATTATGTGAATAATGAAAGAAAAATAAGTAAATAAAATTATAACATCCTTATCTTATTAATATAAAATCTAATTCTATGCAATGTTCCAAAATTGTGGTATTTTTTATATTAAATTAGAATTACAAAACAAGATGTTTCATTTTATATAAATATTACTTTTACATAATACTGTGCTGATATTTACACAAAGAAATGCTAAAAAATAATGTGGCTCTTGAAAACTACAGCTTACCTTATGTTCTTCCACCTGCTTCTTTAAGCTTTCTAGATCAGGTCCCAAAGGTTCTGACTCCATCTTTGCTGTTCTTTTTTCTGTTTTAGCTAACCAGTCAGATAGCTCAGTGAGCTGCTGATTTTGTAAATCCATTAGAGCTTGGTGTAAACTAGAAATAAATATTTTTTTTAAATGAATAAAAATAAACTAAAGAATTCAATATATCTGCTACATCTTGAATATTCAGTTGAATAACTTAAACCTGTTGATTAGAAATTCTATTACAAATCATTGTTTTAACACTCAGTCTGTAGCTGCATTTCTATAATCAATGCAAATGAAACTAAAATGAACAAATCATATTAAATACAGAAGACGCTGTCAATAGACAAAGACTTTTTAAGAGTTTGTACTCAGAAATAAATCCAATTCGGCAAAGAGCAAAAAGGAAACTGACAATCATTTTGAAGTCAGCCGAGTTCTCTCTCTCTCTCTCTCTCTCTCTCTCTCTCTCTCTCTCTCTCTCTGGGGTGTGGGTGTGTGTGTGTGTAATTTGATGAAATGGCAAAACAAGCATGAACACTTTTTTGTATAAGTTTTATTAAAAGTTTTAAAAAGAGAATAAAATTAAAAATTAACAAAAAATAATACAAAGTAAAGAAAGAAAAGAAAAAAGAAGAGAAACAGATGAAAGGATAAAATGCAAAAAGAAAGGATAAAAAGAAATAGGAAGAGACTTCAAATTTCTTTTTCAGCAAATACAAGTACAAAATTATTTCTTACTCTATTGCTACAAAAAAACTCTTCTGATATCTAATATTTTCTAAACAACAAAAATACAAATAAAAAGTTCATTTTTTTCTGTTTCATACAAAAAGTCTATAAAGGGGTTACAGTCAGCAATAAATGTGTTTGCTGTCTTTCCTGTAATCAAAGAAGTCAGCAACCATGAATTCTTGACTGAATATTTGTTTTTGCTTTGCCTCATCAATACCCCTTCCCAGTACTCAAATGAGTACCTTCCCAGTACTCAAATGATAGGTAACTCTATTACTCTCATTATCCTTACATAGTTCTTGTTTTTCACATTTGCTTCTCTTGTATTTTTGTTAAAACTGTACAACAGTCTTCCAAAATAATTGAAGACATCATCTCCCCAAGCTCATTGAATTTCCACATCCATTCCTATTCTTCAGGGCTTATACCTTTAAAATACCCAGTGACATAAGGAAGATAAAATTTGATCAAAAGTTACTTTCCCTTCAATTTGTTCTTGAGAGACTCCTACCGGTATGACATCACAGCAGTGGGAAGCAGGTAAGGAGTCTCCTGATGCCCATTTCCTTTTTGGCGTTTGGCGGCTTAATTTGGCTGTTGCCGTTCGTGTTTAGATCGGCAAAAGAAGAGGGGATCACAGGGCGATCGCGGGGTGGTGTGGATCCCTCAGGAAACCCTGAAACTCCCCCCGAGGTGCCGACGCTGAAAGAAGGCATCCAATATGGTGCCCCTAATCTGTGGGTCTGCCACTATCTGAAGTCTACTATCATCATACTATAACCAATAAGCGGCTGGTGGCTGATATTGAAGATTGGACTTTACTGCATTACTTCTATCTACATTGGAACAGATATCTGAGTACTGATTACTAATCCAGAGATCAGGAAGCGGCAGGGAGGAGGAGGCCGAAGACAACGCAGAAAACTAACCGATGATCGCTGAGGGCTGCTGGTTCGGACAAAGACAGTCTGAAGGTGATCGTGGAACTGCTGTTGGATTTATTGGATTTTTTACTTGCTACCCACCTGTTTGAATTGCTACAGACTGAGTTGAGTCAAGTGGTGGAAGAGGAGTAAGGAGTATGGTGACTCAGCTATATGATCTAAGTCTCCATTAGAGCGGTTGGGAGAAGAAAGGAAAGTGGAAGTTTATAGACTGAACATTCCTAGTGATATAAAAGACTTGAACACGATCTTATGGCTGATACTGGAATTGCACATTGATTGGGGCTAATTTGACTCTTTCTCTTTCTCTCCCTCACAACTTTTCCTTTTCTCAAGCCTTAAAGATTGAAGTTGAACAAGTTTCATGATTATTAGCAATAAATTACTTAAATTGTTTTTTTTTTTTGATAAATAGCCTAATTGATGGGGGGAAGAAGCTTCTAGATTCATCAAGTCTTTTAAATTAATTAGTTGATGGGTGATTGATATATATATATATATATATATATATATATATATACACACACACATAATTAAGATTGGATAGACTATCTGTTTATCTTGTTGAACTCTTTTAATTGAGACATTTATGAATTTGTATTTGTGAATGTTTATGAATTGATAATTGACGATTAGAGCTAAAATAACTAGTTCAGAGTATTGCAAATAAGTAAAGTAAAGTAACATACAGGATAAAGAGAATAAGATTAGAATAAAGATACACGCTGTATGCTAGAGTGGAGCAACCTTTTCTGTCTAACAAAGATGGCTACAACCACAATTACTACCAAGAAGAAGATACCTACAGTATCATCAATCTCATCTCCAGTTACGACCTCACCAATGGCACATAAATCATTGGAAGATATGACATCAATGACATCAATAGGGAAAGCCTCAAGTGCAACTGGAATACCCTCAAATCTTCATGATATTCTTAAAACACTACAAGATACAATGACGACAATAGTAAAAAACCAAGAAACAACGTCTAAAAGAATAGATGAATTGAAATCAGATGTAACAGTGGTGAGGGATGAGCTACGGCAAATGAATGTCAAAATGGAAGAGACGAACTTGACAATGATGTCACATGGGGATCGGATTGTGGAAATGGAGATTAAAGTGGGGAAAGTGGAGGAGAAGGTGATGCGACTGGAAACAAGACAATCTAGGGAAAATAAGAAGCTGGAAGATGAATTAATATTTATGGAGATGGATACAGTTTCAGAATATTGCGGAGGATAAAGATGAGAACTTGGACCAAATTATGACGGATATGGTGGCAGAGATTACAGGGAAAGATAGAGAAGAAGTTTATCAATATATAGATGAAACTTTTCAAGTATTTACCAGTTATGCTAGACGTCATAACCTACCAAAAGAAGTCTATGTATGCTGCACCAAGAAGACATTATGTGATGAGGTACTACAAAAAGAGAGAGATCAAAAAATAAGTTATAAAGGATGAGAAATAATTATCCTAAGTCAACTACCAAAACGGGTAAGAGAAATAAGGAAAAATTATGAATTTCTTATGAGGAGGCTTCAGAAGATGGGGATTCGTTATAGATGGCTATTACCGGATGGGCTGATTATAAGCTGGCAAGATAAGCAGATATGTATAGAAGACCTAAGAGATGTGCAGGAATTTTTTGATGTTTAAAGCTGATAAGCAAGAGAGTGAGGAAGAGGTAGAAAGCGAAAGCCAAGAAGAGTTGCTTGAAATGGAAACGATAAAAGAGCAGAAGGCTTTAAGAGAAAAAGGAGAAGACCAAACCATTGGGGGCTCGGGATCCCAGATAGTGATGAGACAGAAAAAGAAATGGATTGAAAGAACCAAATAAATAAACTGGCAGGAGATGGACTTCGGTTAATATCTATCAACATTAATGGATTAAACCTGCCGAATAAAAGGAAGAAAATACAAATGAAGTTACAGCGGAGGAGATATCAAATAATATGCTTGCAGGAAGTACATATTAAAAAAGGTTACCAGAATTTACTCTTATGTCCCAAATTAGGTGATCTATTTGTGTCCTTAGCTGACAAAAAAAAAAAAAAAAAAAGAGGAGTTGCGATATATATATACAGAAACATTCGGAACCCAAAAATTTTTTTGCTGATGAAGAGGGAAGATTCTTGTTGGTGGAAATTAAAATATGCCAAAGGAAGGTTTTACTAGGAAATATATATGCCCCTAACTGTAACCAGAAAAAAATTTATAATATTTAATTAATTTAATTTAATTTAATTTAATTTAATTTAATTTAATTTAATTTAATTATTTAATTTAATTAATTTAATTTAATTTAATTTAATTTAATTTAATTTAATTAATTTAATTTAATTTCCAATTTATATACCGCCCTTCTCCCTGAGGACTCAGGGCAGTGTACAGCCAAAATAAGAACATAGAATACAAATATTAAAAAACAGTTAAAAATATATATAAATTTGGCCCAAAATTTAAGAAATCACAAACCGATTAAAAGAATTTAAAAAATTTCTTCTTAAGCCAGCCCGGCTTGCTGGAAAAGATGGGTTTTAAGGGCATGACGGAAGGCACTGAGGTCATGGATTCTCCTTATCTCAGGGGGCAACTGATTCCAGAGGGTAGGAGCCCCCACAGAGAAGGCCCTCCCCCTGGGGGTCACCAGCCTACATTGTTTGGCTGATGGCACCCTGAGGAGGCCCTCTCTGTGGGAGCGCACGGGACGATGGGAGGTCGTCGGTAGCAGCAGGCGGTCTCGCAGATAGCTAGGCCCTATGCCATGGAGCGCTTTAAAGGTGATGACCAACACCTTGAAGTGCACCCGGAAGACCACTGGGAGCCAGTGCAGCTCGCGCAGGAGCGGTGTTACATGGGAGCGCCATGTTGCTCCCATCACTACCCGCGCTGCTGCATTCTGGACCAGTTGGAGCCTCCGGGTGCTCTTCAAGGGGAGCCCCATGTAGAGAGCATTGCAGTAGTCAAGGCGAGAGGTGACGAGAGCGTGAGTGACTGTGCACAAGGAATCCCAATCAAGAAAGGGCCGCAACTGGCGAATCAGGCGAACCTGACAAAAGGTCCCCCTGGTTACAGCCGTCAGATGTTCCTCCAAGGACCACTGCATATCCAGGAGGACTCACAGATTGTGAGCCCTTTCAGTGGGGGCCAAAGACTCACCCCCAATAGTCAGTGATGGAGTCAACTGGCTATATCGGGATGCCAGGAGCCACAGCCACTCTGTCTTGGAAGGGTTGAGTTTGAGCCTGTTCCTCCCCATCCAGATCCGCACAGCCTCCAGGCACTGGGACATCACTTCAAGGGCATCGTTGGGGTGGCCTGGGGTGGAGATGTACAGCTGGGTGTCATCAGCGTACTGATGGTATCTCACCCCGAAGCCACGGATGATCTCACCCAGAGGCTTCACATAAATGTTGAACAGAAGGGGTGAGAGGACCG